CTGACAGTGGTAGGGCTTGAACTTTGATACTGGACACTATCCCTGAGCCACAGCGCCACTTCCAGTTTTCTAGTGGTTTATTAGAGATATGAGTTTCATGGCCTTCCCTGCCCAGGCTGGATTTGAACCATGATCCTCAGATCTCAGCCTCCTGAGTAGCTAGGATTACAGGTATGAGCCACCAGTGCCCAGCAGGGCCACTTTCTATTAATCATACAGACTTCACACAAACTAATAACAAGAGCTCTGTGCACATTAGTTGAGGTTTGAACCAGGCTGCATCCCTCAGAGTTGTATAGTGCAGTAGCTCTGCTGGGACTGTATATGCCTTGCTTTCACTTACTTAAATTTCCATTATCAGTACCTGGTACATAAAAAACAATTACTAGTCTGAGTGTGGTAGTATATAACTATAATCCCAACACTCAAGACAGGAAGCTCATAGGTTCAAGGCCAACCTGAGCAACCTAAGGAAACCATCTCAAGAAATAAAAAGACACTCAGTAAATAGTGAATGAATAAATGACTAAGCAAATGAGTACTTCAGCTACCTGACTTTTGCCTCCAGAGCATTTTCAAAACATACTCTGAATCTGGACATGGCAACAATCATCTATTATCCCAGCTACTTAGGAGGTTGAGACAAAAGGATTACTTGAGCCTAGGAGTTCAAGGCCAGCCTGGGAAACACAGTGACATCCTATCCTTTAGAAAAGCAGGTTGGACAGGGTGATCTGGGCACTGATATTTATGCCTTTAATCTTCGCTAGCCCAGGAGGCTAAGATCTGAGGAATCACAGTTCAAAGCCATCTGGGACAGAAAAGTTCTCAAGATTCCATCTCCACAAACAATCAGCACAAAGCAGGGCTGGAGCTGGGAGCTTTGGCTCAAACCTATAATGATAGCTACTTGGGAGGCCCAGATCTTAGGAACTAGGTTAGAAGCCAGGCAGACAAGAGTCTGAAAGACTCTTAACCAGACCTCTAGTTAGCCAGAAAAAAAGCCAGATATGGCCAGGCACCAGTGGCTTACACCTGTAATCCTAGCTACTCAGGAGGCTGAGATCTGAGGATCACAGTTCAAAGCCAGCCGGGGCAGGAGCATCTGAGAGACTGTTATCTCCAGTTAAGCACCAGAAAACCACAAGTGGCTCTGTGGCTCAAGTGGTAGAGCACTTGCCTTGAGCTAAAGAGCCCAGGGACAGCACCAAGGCCCAGAGTTCAAGACCCAGCACTGATAAAAAAGCCAGAAATGGAGGTATAGCTCAAGTGGTAGAGTACCAGCCTTGAGACAAAAAGCTAAGCAAGAGTGCAAAGCCCTTATATTAAGCCCTAATACTAACACACACATGCACACGCATGCACGCACGCACACACGCACACACACACACACACACACACACACACACACACACACGCGGCTGGAAGCACGGCTCAGTAGTAAAATGCCAGCCAACCAAGCAAGCTGAGCTAGTATAAGATCCTGAGTTTAAATCTAAATAATGGCCAAAAAAAGTTGTAGTAGGTGAGGGTGCCGGTAACATGGACAGTGGACTGGAATTTTAGCTCAGTGGTAAAATACATGCTTATGAGGCCCTGGGTTCATTCCACAGCACCATAACAAATGTACAAATGCTGTATTTGTAGAATATTCAGGAGAGAGACAGTTTCACCCAGTTCTGTAAACTCTGTTGACTTAGCATCCTTCACATCCTGATAGATGTTCAGTCCTCTTGTTCCTGCTTTCATCTGTTACGTTTTCTATTTTCTGATTCATCCAGCCACATCTCTCTCCTCTTAGGAAGACAGGCTTAGTAAATACTGAACATTTCAGATACAGAATAGGAATTTTTGCTTCTTTTATTCTTTCTCCCACCTAACCCCCTGCCCCCCCCCCCGACACACACACACATCTTGATTGCTTTGGCCTTTTACGAAACTTCATGCTTCATTTTACTTAGTGACATGATCTTTAACATTTCTCCTTGTGATTACATGGGGATTCTTGTGCTATATTATTTGCATGGATACCAAGACTTCCTAGATCATCTGGTGTAGGAATCTCTCCTGCCATGTTCCTGTGAAACTGTCTTCCATCTACCAGTTAATGAAGTGGTAACTGGCCAAATCCCTTCCTGAGGAGGCCTAACCCAGCCTTCACATGGAGATGGACTTTGCCTCCCAAAAACTCACTTATGATAGAACAGCTGAGAAGTGCAGTTGCTCTTCCTATAGCAGTCTCAAAAATATTTGTAGACAGACGTGGTGCTATGGCTCAAGTAGTAGAGTGCTAACCTTGAGCACAAAGAAGCTCAGGGACAGTGCCCAGACCCTGAGTTCAGGCCCCAGGACTGACCAAAAAAAAGTATCACTCTAAAACATTTAAAGAAGCTCAGATGGATTTTCTCTCTCCTTTCTGTATCCTTTTTCCTTGCAAGGCATTAGTGATTTCTGCACCTATTTCTTTCTAGGTAATGACAAGTATTGTTATTAACATGCCTACTTTATTAACATGCTTATTTTCAAGTATTTTTCAAGGGTTTATTTCTGATTCCTTCCTTCTTATCCATTCTTAGTGATAATATACATACTTATATATATATATATATATGTATATTTTTATTTTATTTATTTATTTTTGTCAGTTGTAGGGCTTGAACTTTGGGCCTGGGTGCCATCCCTCAGCTCTTCAGCTCAAGGCGAGCGCTCTACCACTTGAGCCACAGTGCTACTTCTGGTTTTCTGAGTGTTTTATTGGAGCTAAGAGTCTCACGGAGTTTCCTGCCCAGGCTGGCTTTGAGCCTCAATCCTCAGATCTCAGCCTCCTGAGTAGCTAGGATTACAGGCGTGAGCCATCGATACCTTGCTTCTATATATTCTTATATATCCTTAGGTGTTTTCTTTACCTTAAATTTCTCTTTAAAAAATTTCTTCTGCCAGGATGTCATTAAATTACAGTCTGAATAATCCTCTAGCCTATGATTTAATACACTGGTTTCAGACTGCATCTAGTTTCTTATTGATACAGAACAGTTGACTCTTCCTGACAGGACCCTTGTCTTACAGGCATTGAGTTAATTGCTGCATTCTATGGCTGCCTGTATGCGGGCTGTATACCTGTGACTGTCCGGCCTCCTCATGCTCAGAACCTTACTGCCACATTGCCCACTGTCCGAATGATTGTTGATGTAAGTACATCTATAGCTTTCTTTGTCCTCATGTCATAAAACCCATATGGAAACAATGAAGGATCTTTAACAATTTTCCAGTTTTGTTAAGAAGTCAATTATTTTATTTATTTATTTATTTTTGGTCAGTTATGGGGCTTGAACTCTGGGCCTGGATGCTGTCCCTCAGCTCCTCAACTCAAGGCAAACACTGTACCTCTTGAAACAGTGCCACTTCTGGTTTTCTGGTAGTTTATAGGAGATAAGAGTCACATGGACTTTTCCTGACCGGGCTGGCTTTGAACCTCCATCCTCAGATCTCAGCCTCCTGAGTAGCTAGGATTACAGGCATGAGTCATCGGTGCCCAGCAAGAAGTCAGTTTTTTTAAGAAAATGTTTGAATTTGGGCCACAAGCTCACTCAGCGTACTTCCTCATAGCTAGTGCTCTACCACTTGAGTCACACTTTCAGTCTAGCCTTTTTGCTGGTTACTTAGATATGGAGTCTTGCAGACTTTTCTGCCCTAGCTTTCTTAGAACTATGACCCAGCCGATTTCAGCCTCCTGGGGAGCTAGATTTATTGTACCAATGCCTAGCTTACTCAGTTTTTTTCTCCTAAAAATAATCTTTTCTTTAATCTGGCCCATGTGACCATCATTATTAAGTGTAGAAACTGTGACAAAGTAGTTATTGATGAGACACAGAACTATATGCATTAAATGTAACCACAAAGAAGGTGAACAGTTATTAGTAACTCACCATAAAACATGTCTATGTGACATTGTCCAAAAAGAAATGTATTTATGGAAGTGTCACTGTAGCTCAAGTGGTAGAGTGCTCACCTTGAGCTGAAGAGCTCAGGGACAGCACAACCACCAAAAAAAAAAAAAGGTGGGGGGGGAAAAAAAAAAAAAAAAAAAAAAAAAAAAAAAAAAAAAGGTGGGGGGGAAAGATGGGTCCCAGTGGCTCACATCTGTAATCCTAGCTACTCAGGAGGCTGAGATCTGAGGATTGAGATTCAAAGCCAGCTTGGGCAGGAAAGTGGAAAGTCCTTGAGGCTCTTATCTCTAATAAACTACCAGAAAACCGGAAGTGGTGCTGTGGCTCAACTGGTAGAGCACTAGTCTTGGAGCTGAAGAGCTGAGGGACAGTGCCCAGGCCCAGAGTTCAAACCCCTAGACTGACAAAAAGAAAAAGTATTTATTACCTGACTTATGTAACTGTAAACCCTCTGTACATCACCTTTATAATAATCATTAAACAGGGGCTGGGAAGGTGGCTCAGTGGTAGAGCACTTGCCTTGCAAGCATGAGGCCCTGGGTTCAATTCCTCAGCACCACATAAGCAAAAAGAAAAAA